CGTTATTACAGAAGACTTCTAGCCAATTAAGTAGGGCAGTACGGTCTAATTTAAAGCTATATTTAAACACTCAACAATATATGCAATTACATATTCTCTTACTGAAAGTAAGGTCATTTTAGGACTTCATATTATATTTAGTGCTGCTTTTTTCACAGCCAGTACTTTACTAGTTAAGATTTATTCTAGAGAGAGCTTAACCACTGTTTATTTTTCTAACAGTCTCCTGACACAGATAGGAAACTCTTCATTAAGCATCATTCAACTGATCTCTGTACACTGGGGCACACTGTCATCTTGGAGAAGCCTGCGTGCCTTGAGCATATGGGTATCCTGCTGTCCTTCCCCTTCTGCCTGCCAGCTCCACTCTTGTGACTGCACAAAGGGCAGGAAACAAATCTTTCAGGCTGAACTCTGTCCACCCACTCGAAAAACTGTAATCAGCAGGGGTTGCGTGGGCAGAGCACAATGTGCACTGCTCCATCCAAACTCCCCAGTATTCAGAGGCAGTTCACATGTGATCTGGAGAAAATTACAGAAATCTTTTATGAAATGTTCGTTTAAATAGATGACTATGATCTTCTTTTAATATGTGTATAGTTTGCTCATATAAAGGTGAAACACAGGTGTTTTAGAAAAGAACATTAAAGGCAAAATTGTCAGCTTCTTCCTACAAAAAATAAGGTCATAACCTGTAAAGGTGCATGCTGAGCTGACCACTTATTACAACGGAAAAACCAAAGTGGTATGACCAGAAGGTTAAGATGAACTGGTCAGAAGCACTGCTGTTAACTAACATATATCCCAGCTGTTTGCTCGTCTATTCCAGCCAATGCCTTTTTTACCTTACCTGATTCAATTGCAAATGCTTGTTATGAATAAACCACAAAAAAGTGCCCGTTAGCTGATCTTATGGCATATTGACAATTTTTGTTCTCCAAATATAGCATTTTTGTTCCCTCTCATGTCACAACTCTGATTGGTGTAAGTACTGCCACAGAGCATACTGTAACCCAAACTGTTTTAAAACTCACAGTAGTGATATTATATGTGTTAGCTGCAAGGCATTACATAGTAGTCTCTCTTTGTATTAAGCAACACTTGAAATAATATATAGAAGAAATTGCTTTGCTTACTTGCGAGAAAAAGAAGATCTTTTGCTTCCAGCAGCAGACATATGGACTTCAGGAGCTGAAATACTGCCTGTGCTGCTTGAAGAGCTAAAATCAGCTTCACTCCCTGGAAAGGAAAAGGGAAGAGTAAAACATGATGGAAATTATAACTCAACGACTGTTTTCAAAATAACAGTGAATCACAAGCATCCTTCCTTTGTCTGTCTTTTGTGAATTTTAAAAGTTGCATGAATTTTCAACCATCCCCGAGGACAAGCACTGGCTATGTTCCAGATTTTCAACAATTCCTCAGAACTGGCAATTCAACAAGAGTAGAAAAAAAAAAAAAAAGGACACAGAAACTTATTCTATGGAAACCATTTTAGAACTAGGCTAAAAACATTTGTTATGACAACCTGTTTGCTTTCTCACAGTTATCAATATACGAATGAGGCTGGTGTATATAGCTCCTTCAAGAGCCCAGTGATTAAGAACATACAATTGTTAACGCATTTCTCTTCCTTTAAACCATTGGGAAGCACTCCTTGCTGGGGAGAAAGCTTGTCCTTTACTGCTTTCTGAGATGATATACATGTATATAGATGACTAGGGTAAATAGCTCGCTCTCTCTATACGTATGTGTACAGATATATGTGTGTATATATGTGTATAGATATATGTATTTACATTTTCATGTGGCACAGAAGCATAGTAAGGCAGTTCTAATAGATTTGAAATAATCCAATAATAATGCGTGGCTCTCAAGCGCTTCTTGGGTGTTAAGCCATACTATCTGATTACTGACTTTCTGTGGATTACAGCTTTCATTTTTCAAGCTCTGTTATATAAAAGAAAAATCTGCTGCCTTTGCTGAGGCCAGTAGAAGGTAAATTTACTAAAAAAGTCTTATTATCTGGAAAAAAATCCTGAAGAAGTCAGTTTTTTTTTTAATCTCAGTTTGTCACTCAAATAGCAAATGTTCCAAGCCATACCCTCATCTAATGCTTCACAGTCACAATGATGGATAACAACTTTACTTCAGGGAATGGAAATAACTTTCCAACATGCTTTAATAACAGCAGGAAGAAATGTCATGACTTACCTAGCATCTTACATTTGGGAATTTCAACACACCTTGAGGCCATGAACTATCCTAGCATCACCCAAATCATACCCAGAAACTGGGGAGGGGACTTGCCCAAGACCATCAAGCAAGTGCATGGCGCCCTGGTCCCATAAAGCTCCCCCTACACAGGCTGATCTTTCCAGGGCCAGCTAGGAAGCCGCAAGGAACACCAGGAGGCCACCGAGGTAATGCGGCTGAGGAGGCGGCACCTCGCTGCCCTCCAAAAGCAGGGAGGGACACCTCCGAGTTGCGTTGCGGCAAGTCTCCTTATGAAACCTGATGCCACAGACTTCCCGGCAGCGTTTATACCCTGGTTGGAGGCCTCCCGGCAAGGTTTATACCTGGGCTCTGCCAGGCAGCCCTGGCCACCCTTCGCTGACTGCGCTGAGTGGTGGCTCTTCCCAGCAAGGAACAGCTGAGAACACCGTTCCCGCTGTCTCCTTCAGAGGTGCCTCTACCATCCTGCACAGAAACATCCACTCAGGTGAGTAGCTGGAGACTTGTCAGAGAAGAGCTCTTTTTTTTTTTTTTTTTTTTTTTGCTATAAACCACTTTTCCACGAGGGGGAGATGCAGCTACAGCTCCTGGGATAGCCACCATGACAAATAAAACCTCTTAAGTTCACAGATCCTTAAATCTTTAGCACAGCTGACTGGCACATCTTAGGCTCCTGAATGCTTTGGACTGGAAAAAGGCATTGTTAGAGCATGTTTTCACAGACACAGCCTTAAAGAGGAGGAATCATTTCGCAAAAGTTGTTAGCCACTTATGGCCATAGTGGTCTCAGAACATACGCGTTCTGATTTAACCCAGTACAGTTTCCTAATTTCACAAAGTCTGAGTGTCAGAACATACATTACTTATTACTCCAACCTGTTCTTTCAGTCTCAAGTATCAACTGACAAGAATTGTTCTCTCTTTTTGGCAAGGAAAGCATTGCCCTTCCTGTGATGTCGTCGTCTTTTTTTTTTTTTTTAATGCTGCAGGGTTCAGTAGAATCAAGCTGGTTTTATTATGTTGTTTATTTTTTTTCCAGTTGCAAGTCTACGAGATACAAATCAGATTACGTTGGTTTACCTGTCACAGACATGGAAGCAAAGGAGTTCAAGAAACTCAAAAACAAAACCAAACTCAGCCTACTCTCCACTATTAACTGGGCTCTCTTGTGATGACAGGACAGAAGCCCTGTCCCATTACAGAGGAATCACTAGAGGAAATAAATTTCAGAGTCAGGTCTTGGCTGTTTTCATGCTGAAGAACTCTAATCAAAAACACATTACAGACCCATTATTTCTTGTTGGTTAATGCTCTACAACATCGCCACATAAAAGGTATCTACAAGCCACAGTTTCTGGAAGAGTGGGAGAAGGGGAGTCTTTCCTAGCTAGAATGGTGGGTAGTAATAAAGTGGCCTTCAAAATAACCCTTGGCAAACACTTATATAAAGGGTGGGAGCAGGAACAGAAATAGCCGGAAGCACAAGGCGTGGAATCTGTTAGTGGGGTGCAGTGAGAAGTCTGCGACAGAGCAGATAGTTGTACCTATTCAACAGTAAAACTGATAGACTAATAAATCTCAGAGGAAACGGATTTTACAAGAGGAGTCTGATCTCCATCTGACCTCTAAAACAAAATCTCTGGCTATAGCTGGTCTGTACCTGGGTCTCCTAGAGGAACTGCAACGTTTCACTTCAAAATTTCTCAAAAGGCCAAATTACCTGCACCGGAGGGTCATGCTAGGTGCAAGGCTGGACACCAGGTGCAGAGGGCAGCCTGAAGAGGCGGCTGTTACCCAGGAAAACGTATTTCAGCCCTAACACAGCCTGAAACGCAGAGTACACGAAGACGGCTTTAAACATCAGTCCCTTTTTCTCTGTGCTTCTAATTCAGCTCAACCAAGAATATTCCAGAGCCTAATTTCAAAAGAGAGAAATGTACTGCCTAGTTCCTGAAAGCGGCATCCCAGGGATCCAATTTTATTGCCTTTAACCAATTCCACACCCAGTGTAACAGCCCTGAAAAATCAGACCCGTAGTGACCTGTGTCGCTACAGTTCTCACCAAATAGGAACCACATGCAAAGACAGGGAGGGAAGGGCAGGAGGGGAGCAACAAAGCCACTTTGTTTCACAGAATACTTATACCACCATGTCTGCAAATGCAGATGTCAATGATCCTCTCCTTGGGGAAGCAAAATGATCATGGGACACACTGTCCGAAGCTGCAGCAGAGTTTTCCTGATAAACAAAACACTCTCATCTAAGAGATTAAAGTCCACACAGAATACTGTCTCAGTACCGTGCTGATCTCAAATCTAATTTTAAAAATAAGGACCCGAACAGGTAAACACATCACATAGATTTCATACCTCCAGTGTTTGGCCCCCCAACACATTCCTGCCCTTGCAAGACGCCAACAGCTTTCCAAAGCCAAGTACTGGCTCCTACACAGAGAACATGAGCCCGAGCTGAGGCTCATCTCTGATTAAGTAGACCACATTATAATCAGATCGTGTTATTGAAAGCATTTCAAGGAAGCAAGGCTTAATAATAGCCTCTCCCTGACCCGTTTGGCTCGGAGCGTAGTGCTGGGAAGGGCTGCCAAGCTAGGTACTGCAGATAAGATTTAGCAGAGCCTGGAAATGTAACCATCTCAAATTCTGAGGTTTCTGAAAGACTGAAATACATTTGAAACAGGAAGTGCTTCTACGAAGCAAGAATTAGCCTCTCTGGCCCCAATTCCGACAACAGTTATGCGTATCCTTAACACTGAGCACAGGAGACTACTCCTGCTTAAAATCAGGCAGTGTACATTTATAGGATCTTCCAGAAGTTTTTGTAAATTCAAGGGGTGGCAGTTAATTGCATTCCCAAGTGTGATAGCGGACTTCAAGCCAGCTCACGTGTAGAAGAGCTTGACAGTAATGTTACTAGGAGATTTTTAAGAATACTTTCTCCCATTTGGTAAACATCTCTATGCAAAATAATGCATTTACCCACACATAATATAAATTGCAACACATCCTTGAGAGTAAGTATGACTTCCATCTTCCAAATATTTTCACAAAGAGATGAAACTCCTTCTCTAACTAGCAGCAATATAGGTAGGAGCAGAATACAGCCTTTTAACAGCCATTCTCTTGACTGACAGCTACCCAAGGAAGCCTGTTGACTATTTTTGTTGCTGTGGCAATGTGATCACAAAAGCTCACCCATGTAAGCAGCCAAACAGCCTCAGAAGCAGCATTAACCATGACAGAAGTTGACGTTTCTCAAAAACATATTCTTTTGTTCTGACTGGCGATAACATGTGTTTTGCCCTGGTCTGAGATTTCCCTGTTTTACAGGAGCACCATTAGTGAGCCCTGCCTGCAAAAGGTGCCACACGTTGAGCTGCCAGCTTCAGAGCTACCTTATTCGAAATTCATTCATACATATTTTTCCATGCTCTCGGCACCAGAGCACCAATAACCTGCTGGCAGGGCGGCTGACCTGGGATTCAGCACCTACAGAAGTGCTTGTGCTGCATGTACGGCGTCTGACGCTGCAGGGCCGCCGCTCCGGCCTCGGGCTGCTTTGCAACAGGCTGCTGGGGACACCCATGGCTCTCGGAGCCCCGGGAAGGACAAGGCGACAGCTTGCGCTCAGCAGTGGTTAAGCAGAAGGACGGCCAGCAGAGTACTGTCACATTTTCCAGAATTCCTCCTTGCCTTGAATGGGCATCTGAGGAATGAAGTAGTGCAGCATCCGGCACCATCCATCCCCATGCTTTACAGGCAAACGGGACACGGCATCAAGCTAAAAATACGCCATGGACGGCACGGTGCTTTGGGCACTTTTAGCCTTCTTGGCTTCCTGTTGCCATGACAACGGTGTGAGCCTCAAGCAGTCCGGGCTGAGATGGAGAGCAGGAGGGAGCCTAGAGCCCTGCGGCTGCGTCCCGTGCCCGGCGGTGCAGGGCGCGCGCCGTGCTGGCCCGCACGGACACGGCAAACGCAGAGCGG